TAACTTTTGTGTTGTTTAAAATTTTATTGTGAAATTTTAATATTATATTCTACATAACCTAAAATATTAAATACAATATTCAGTATAGTTTGCACAAACATGTATGGTATTTTTCCAATCTTTGAAGTCTAAAATAATAAATTTATTATATAAATTATATAATTAATTATTTCAGCCCAAAGCTAACTCATGCATAACATTTAATCTTTGATTAACTGTTTTAAAATCATATTCTGCATAATCTATAATATCAAATTTATTAATTTGTAAAGTTCGTCTGAGTATATTCATTGTTGTCCAAAGCTTTAAAGCCTAGATCAGCTGATTTTATATAATGTGATAATTCAGTTATATATGATCGGCAAAATGATTGACATGTAATATAAGCATGTCCGCTATGCTGGTCACTTGTTTGTATAAAATGTAATGAAAAGTTTAGTGCAAATATAGGAAATATAAGAATATCAACTCTTAAACATCATATGGAAAAAAAACATAATATTAAAATTTCACAAGTTATAACTAATCAAACCAAACTTCTTTTTCCTCATATTGATCTATGGCCAGCTAAAGAAAAACAAGAACGTGATGAATATGAATAATTGCTAATCAGCAATCTTTTCGTATTGTAGAAAATAAAGAATTTGTTGCAGTTTTTAATAAGCTCAATCCACATCACATTATTTCAAATCATTACTAATAAAAGATAAAGTTATATCATACTTTAAATTATGTTATTCTAGAATTATTAATGATCTCAACAAATTCCTAAAAAAGTTTCATTAACTTCAGATATATGGACATCAACATTAACAATAGAAGCATTTTTGGGTTTATCTATTCATTATGTAGATGATGGATGAGTTTTGCGTCATTTTTTATTGAATATAATACCATTTAAAGTAAGGAATACAGAAATTAACATAGCAGAATATATTATTATAATACTTAATGAATTTGAACTAATGAATAAAACTCTAGGACTTACAACTGATAATGAGTCAGCTATAGTTGTATGTGATCGTGAAATAGCAAATCAAATTCAGTAAGATTTTAATTCCTTGGTCTTTTAATATTACTGGTATTCTGCACATATTCTTAATTTAAGTGCAAAACAAGGATTAAAATTAATTGATAAAGAGGTTGTTAATATTAGAAAATTAATAGATAAACTTAAAAATTCGATTCTAATATGTGATGTACTTCAAAATCTTTGTCAAGTAAAATCCATTTAATTTCAGAATCTTACACGTGATATGGAAACTGAATGGAATTCTACATATTATATGCTACAAAGATTTAAACAAATGGAAACTGTTTTACATTTACTTGAAATAGAATATCCAGTAATAAGAAATTTACTTTCAGATACAGAAGGTTGGTTAAAAATTTGGGTAAGCAAAAAATTATTATTAATTAATTATTTTTTATTTTATTAATATAATATAAATTAACTTAATTTTATAAAATAAAAGATAAAATTATTTTATTAGAACCACTAGAAAAAGCTATTGTTATACTTTCTACAGCATTATATCTAATAATTACTAATTTTTGTTTTTAATAATGAAAATACAAGAACATCTTCAATTCTATATTAATAAGAATAAATTTAGTCAATAAATAATGGTTTCTTCAATTAATTAAAAAATTAGTGAATATTAGGATATTATTGATTTAGCAACTCATATTGCAGCAATTTTAGATTCGTGTATAAAACTTGCACTTTTTAAAAGTGAGTAACTAATAACTGATGCATTGAATAATCTTCAAACAGTTATGAATAGATATTATTTACCTTTACTAACTCAACCTACTCATACTAATATTAAGAATACTAAATCTACAATGCGAAATTGATTTAATAATACAAAACGTCATCGTATTAATGCTACCTTTTCATTACCATTAAATAATAATGAAACAAATTCTTCAATTGCTTCTGAACTGGATCGTTATATTGCTTTACTATGTGATGAAAATATAATGCCATTAATATGGTGGCAAGGTCATCAGAAAAAATTTTCTATTTTATCTTGTATGAGATTATTTATCAATTTAAGTTACAAGTATAGCTTGTGAACGGACATTTTTATCACAACAAATACTATTACTAAAACACATAATAAATTACATTCTGCAACAACCAAAGTATCTTTATATGTAAAAAGTTAGATTGCTAATAATATTAAAGAAAAATTAACATAAATAGATAATAAATAGAAGTATATAAATAAATTGTAATAAGAACCAAAATTTATAATAAATCAATAATATTTATTGCTTACTTTATTAAATTTAAATTTTTCTTTTGTCTAAAATGAAGTATAAGATTATGAAAATCAGATCATATGAAGATTTTTGTTTATTTTTCATCACGTTATACTAAAATATGCAAATAAAAATTTATGCTATTTTCTAGTAATAAATTTTTTTAAATATTTATATAAAAGAACTGGTTCTAGATCCAGTTTCAAAATCAGTTATAAGACCGGTTATTAAAGACCAAATCATGAGTCTTAATAATAGAACTTACAAGTTTTAGAACTAGAATTAGACTAAGACCAACCTTTCAAATCCTATGTATGTAGGGTTACAGATCGTATTTTTTACATAATATTATAGTTAAAATCTTATATAGGGTTACGGTATCATAAGATTTATGAAATATTACAGTAAAATCCTACATAGGATTATAAGCTCATAAGATTACAAAATATTACAGTGAAATTCTACATAAGATTATAGGATCATATAAAATCTTACGTAGTATTATGATTTCCTATTATAGATTTAAAATTAGTGATACATATATTGTACTATTTAATATAAGCAATAAGTACATACTTTGTATCTTTTATTGATTTATATATATTTTTAGCTTTTAAGAGATGTCAATTTTAAAATATTTAATTGCATATGTCTAATGAAATAGCGTTAAATTACTATATTAAAAATTATAATTCAAAAATATATATACATGTTAACATTAAATATATTTAATTCAGCATAAGTTTTTAAAAATATATAATTCAGAATCATATGTACATATTATAATAAAATAGTTATATTAAAATATATAATCAGGGACAATGATTTCCTGATTTAAGCAGAAAATCACAGATTTAACATATTTATGGAAATTAACAGATTATCACAGATTTTTAAAAAACTGTATTTTATATACCAATCATATTAAATATTTTTTTTAAGGTTTATTAATTTTTTTATATGTTTTTTGTATTTAAAATATTAAGAAAAGCTTATACCATGATCAGATAATAGGAGTTTTTTAATATACAGAAGATGGTCAGTAAAAAAGGAGGAAAATTCAAATTTTGGTCAAAATTTATATTATTGGACTACTTGGCTAATCTTGGTCATATACACAAAATTAGCTTAATAATTAAAATTAACAAAAATTTTGGATTCCCTCTTTTTTACTGACCACCTCCCATATACTAATATTTTAGATAACAATTATCAAAACCTTTCTAAAAAGATAAGCATGATGTATTTTAATATAAATTAATTTTGAAAAAAATTTTATAATAAAAAAAATCAGATTTTAAACAATGATATAAAAAATGCAACAGCGAAATGATAATTGTAAGGGTCACTGAAACCTTACAGTTTTAAAGCAAATTTTACAAAATATTAATATAGAAGATCATTATATACATAACTTTAAGTAGCATTAAATATCATTAATTTTAATTCACTATATCACATGTATATTTTAGACACGTTAATTAAAATAATACTATAATTTACAAGAATATATGAGAGGCAGTCAGTAGAAAAAGAGGAAATCCAAAATTTTTGTTAATTTTTATTATTAAACTAAATTAGAGCACATAATCAAGATTAGTCAAGTAGTCTAATAATATAAATTTTGACCAAAATTTAGATTTCATCTTTTCTACTGACCACCTCCATATTTTAAAAAAATAATACTGTATTTTATTCTTTTTTCACTTTTTGCATTATCCTTTAATAATAACTTTGCATTTTCTTTCCTTTTACATTATTCTCCTTTCTCTTCTTTTTCATCCAATATAGATGCTAGGCAAAAAATATTATATTCGTATTATTCAATATGAAAAAGGTTATCTTAAAATTTTATATAAATATAACTTTAGTTTTAATAGTCTCAAAAATCAAAAAAAAAACAAAAGAAAGTATTTTCATTACAAATCTATAAATTTATAAAAAATTATTACAACTTTAAAATGCCTTTTGTTAACAAATATCCTCATATTAAACAATTTGGCATCAAACAAATGAATATTTTGACAATTTATGATGAAGATATCATAATACTAATATAATATAAACCACATAGACAAATATGAAAATCGTTTATTTAACTTAACAGTATTAGTTTTCTTTGAGGACTATAATGACTATACTGAAAAATATAAAGATAAAATTTTAATTTTAATATTATTAATTGAGTAGCTAAGCCTAATTCATATCAAATATTGGCTAGAGGCTCAAAGTTATGAAATTTTATTTTTTTTATTTTATTTTTATTTTTATTTTTATTTTTATATTATTATATTTAATTGAGTAGTGAGACCCAGTTCGTATCTAGAAACTCAAGTTTTAAAATTTTTTTCATTTTTTTCATTTTTATTATTTCATTTTTTTTTATTTATTTAATTGAGTAGCAAGTCCCAATTTATATCAAATATCGGTTGGAGACTCAAGGTTTTAAAAATCATCATTTTTTTAAATTCATTTTATTTTTTATTTTATAATTAAATAATTAAGTAGCGAGTCCTAGTTTATACTAAATATCGGCTGAAGACTCAAGTTTTCAAAATTCTTTTTTTATTCATTTTTTTATTTTATATTTTTTTATATTTATTTATTTTATAATTAATTAATTGAGTAGTGAAATCCAATTTGTATTAATTTAAATATTACCTTTACAATCTATTTAAATTTTTACTATAACTTGCAAGATATTTATTTGTAAAATGATTTAAATAATAAATTATTCTGTATCTCGCATATACATAATCTGCATATAAAAAAAACTTATGTATGGAATATTTGCAAAAAAACACATTTTGATTTTTATAACATCTTATTATTAATATTAACAGAAAATAATTTTATTATTTAAATATTATGTGCTAAAGTTTTAAATAAAAACAATACATAAAAATTATTTAAACAATTAGGATAAAGTCATGATGTAAATCTGCAAAATTTATTCTTCTTAAATGTATTAAACTGCAAATAATGCAAAATTTAAAATAAATACTTTATTTATTATGCAATAAAAAACTTTTGCTAAAAACTTAAATTTTACTTTTACACTATAAACATGATACAAAATAGTCTGTCCTTCCATTCATCAATTTGTGATTGGCAATTTTCGTTATATTTACTCTGGACTTAAAGCAGGAAATGATTATCTATGAGTAATATAATAAATACTATGAATTTGATAAAATCAAAGGAGGCTGAATTAGCATTCCTAAAAACCTCTATTTCAGATGCGATCATTTTTTTTAGGTTAAAAGTCTATTATATTATAATTCTATATAACATTTCACTAAAAAAAAATTCCTGATACACAACATATTTATGATTTGCATCACTTCAAAATGAATTCTAAAAATAAAATATTTATAACATAATATTATATAAATTTATATAATATTAAAAATTTCCTGATATAATTTTTGATATGTGAAAACACAATTTAAAAATTTTCAGGATAATTTCAATCATTAAGCCAAGAAGAATTTTTATTTATTTATTTTTATCATTTTAGAATAATATTCTATAGTCTTTTCTTATTCTTTTCTTAATCGTTCTATTTATTTAGCCATCTTCACTTTCATATTTTCCAGTGTCTTTTTATATCATTCGGCTTTACATATTTAGAACAAAACTTCATTTTTCATCCTTTCATTTTCTTTAAAAAATTCCAATAAATTATTTGCCAAATGTATTGACAAATCCAAGATCTAAACTTCTTGTTCATTAATGATCTTTTGTAATTCAGATAATAGTGAATAGTGATTTTCATTGATGTTTGTAGTATTTTTAGTGGTTTCTTTTTTAGGATGGACGTATTTTGATAATCAGATTACTAATTTTAGTTAAAAAATTCTCATGTTCTTTTTATATACATTTTAATTGTAAATCTGATATAAATATGCTTGCTTTCTCTCATTTTCATTCCTTAATGTAAATTTGTATTTTCTCAAGTGTAGGTGCTATTTTGAAAACTGTTTACACATAGATTTTGATATAAAATATATTATACAATTTTTATTTTTAGGATTTCCACTTTTTTTGGAAGAATTTATGTATTATTTAATTTCATAAAAAAATAAAATAAAAAAAACTTTTTTTTTTTCAGTATTTCAAATTTTAAAACTTTGAAATAAATAATTCTTTTTTAAAAAATGACTTCTATACTTTGTTTTAAGTATTCAAATAAGCTTTTTAAGCATTTTTTATTATTAAATAATATTTTTAATATTAAATAATAAATATTATTAAATTTAACAAAACTAATGCTATATCTATCATTTTAAACAATTCATTTTTATTCATTTTCTATATTTTAACAATTCATGATTCAAATGATTAAATGATCATCATTAAATTTTTCATTAAATAGCATACGTGATTTTTATTCATAATTTTTTTCACGTCTTATTTTTTCAACTTTATAACTTACACAACTTAAACAACTATCATTTAACTTTTTTTAATGGATTCACATACAAACAAAGAACAAATCATACAACTGTAACAGAAAAGGTATGAAGACAATAGAATATATGTAAAAATAGCAGTTATTTTATATTATGAAAATGGGCATAGTAAAATAAGACTGCAGCTAAATTTAATATTGAAACTAAGCAACTTCAAGACTGAATATCTAAAAAACCACAACTTTTAAAAGCTCAACCAGATGTAAAATGTTTAAATAAAGGTTTATCTCCAAAATACCTGCTTTAGAAACTGCTTTAGTTAAATGGATAAAAGAAAGAAGAAATAATCAACAAACAGTTTTGTGAAGTATGATACAAATAAAAGGTAAAACATTTGCACAACAAAGTTAATGGCAATCTATATATCCTAATTTTCAATCTTTTGCTTTTAGTAACAAGTGGGTAGATGGTTTAATGAGTCGCAACAATTTGAGTAATCAACATTATACTATTAATGTATAATATTTACCAGATAATTTAAATAAAAAGTAGCAGGAATTTTAGCATTTATTATGTATAGACACATTCAGCATAATTATCCTTTAACATTAATTGACAATATGGATGAAACTTCAATGATATTTGATCTGCCAAGTAATACTACTATTGATAAAACAGGAATGCAATCTGTTAGCATTCGTATAACAGGACATAAAAAATCATATTTTACAGTAGTATTTATTAACTTGTATAGCTGATAGAATCAAACTTCTTTCTTTTGTAATTTTCAAACTTAAAAAAGTTCTATGAGGTAATTTTTCATAAGAAGTTATTATTCAAATTAATCCAACTGGATGGATGAATGAAAATGAGATACTTTATTAGATTTAAAATGTTTGGATTAAGCGTGCAAGACTTTCAAATTCATAATCATTACTAGTTTTGAACTCATTTTCTGCATATCTTGTTAATTCTGTAAAAAGGCATTTTGTTGAAAAAATACTTATATTACTATTATTCCTAAAGGATTAATATTTCGCCTACAACTTTTAGATGTTTCAGTAAACAAATCATTTAAAATAAAGGTAAGAAACTTAATAGATATTGATTTTTAAAAAATAAATTTAATAATCATTTTTATTTTTTATCTTATTTTATAGATGTGATGAAATTATAACAATTGGATGGCTGATTCTGTTAAAGAATTAACATCAGATGATAATATCAAAAGACTTTCATATGAAACTATAGTAAATTGGATTAATAATTTATGGAATAATATTGATATTAATTTAATTCAAAGAGCTTTTAAATATTGTGACATCTCTAATAAATACGATGAAACTGAGGATAAATTAATCTTTGATTATAGTTATCTTAAACAATCAGGTCAATCAAATAGTAGGATAGAAATGGATAATGTAGATCAAAGAGAAGGAAATGTTGATGATTATTATGATATACAAGAAACAAATTATGCTAATATATGAGATGATTAGTAATTTTGATTTTGATTAAGTAATGTAAATGAAATTTTTTTTATAAACATTCAATAAATATAATAAATGAATATTTTGATTAATACGGAAGTATTTCTCAAAAAAATCAGCATTTGCAATTGAATAGTATCTTGATACTAATTAAAGGAGATACTTTTTAGGGGTATACTATATGTAGTGCTATATAGTAGCTATGTATCTTGATTTCTAAATAAGTTCGTAAGTTTTATCAAAAATATAATCAAAAATGTTAGAAGTGAGTGATGAAGAATTAGTAAAGGAGTCAATTAATTTGGAAAAGCAATAAGAACAATGCCTTTGATGATATCTATGAAAGAAAAGTTGTGAGGATCTTCTTTCAGAATCCAGAAAGAATGTGAAAAAGTAGAAGATAATATCAGAAAAGTAAACTGATTGTGAAGTTTATATAAAAAGTTGTTATTTTAGAACTTGTAAGGCTGCTGTTATAATTTGTTTCATCTCTTTTTTGGCCTTGAAACAAATCCATATGTGGTTGAAGTTTTCTTTATCAATGTTATAATGACAATACTTTCATAACGAATTATAGATTATAGATTGAATTGCTTTAATGAATTCAATAGTAGGAATTTGTTCAAAGAGAAATTTAAGCATTCTACAATATGCTCAAGGCTAAAGTTAGTTTCCATAATTATTTTTAAAATTTTTAACTAGTTGTAACTATTTATGAATTTTTATATTAAAATAAATTTACAAGAAGTTGCAACTTACCGAATTGCAACTTCTTAATTATGGTACCCATTTTTACTTGAGATTCTTTAAAAGAGGTTTCAGTAGAGATACCAAGTTTAATAAATTCAAAAGCACTAATTAAAATCATTTCTTTCAGTACTAATACCATTCGGTAATATTCAGCCGATTCAGTCATATGATTCAGCAAAAATTCGACTTAAGTTACAAAAATCGATAGTCATTTATTACATCACATATGATTTAACATTATTTTGGCATTAAGACCTTTTGGTTACAATATTCAGCAAAATTCAGTTAGATTCAAAATTTGGCAACAAATCGACTGTATCTTATTGGTCAAAATCTGTTGATCTGATTTTTGCGAAAATTATAAAAACTTTCCCTAAAGAGATGATAGAAATTGTCTCAAAAGAAATGATACATTCATTCTAAAAGATACCATAGAAATCATCTCAAAAGGAGTGATATAATCGTTCCCAAAGAGACAATAAAAATCTTCTCTAAAGGAACGAACTATTGTCCTAAAAGAGATGATAAAAATTGTTTCAAAAGGAATAATACAATCATCCCAAAAATGATTTCTATCATCTCAAAAGAAATAAATAATTGTTTCTAAAGAGACAATAAAAATCGTTTCTAAAGGAATGATTCAATTATTGTTCTGAAAGAATAATGTTTTTTCATTATTTTTAAGAAATGATATTTTATTATTCTGAAAGAATAATATTTTTTTTATCGTTCTTTTAGAACAATTTATTATCGTTTTAAAAGAATGATATTTTTTCATCATTTTTAAAAAACGATATATCATTGTTCTGAAAAAACAATTTTTTTATCATTCTTTTGGAATGATACTTTATCATTCTGAAAGAATGATATTTTTTTATTGTTCTTTTTATCATTTTTAAGAAATGATTCATCATATTTCTGAAAAATGATATTTTATCATTTTTTTGAAATGATATACAATATAATCATTCCTTTAGAATGATATTTTACATCATTCTATTGGAATGATATATAATCATTTTGAAAGAATGATTTTTGTTATTATTCTTAAGGAACGATCAAACTATCATTTCTTTTGAACAATTTTCTATATTATTCTTAAAGAATAATCAAATTATCATTCCTTTCGAATAATTTTTGTTATTATTCTTAAAGAACAATCAAATTATCATTCCTTTTAAAAGGTTTTCTATATCTTTTCAATCAGATAATGCAAAATCATCTATTAAGAGCATTTATAATATTTATAATAAGTAAAAATAATATTTAAAGTTCAATTTACAGTATAAAACTAATTAACTTTAGGAATATTCTGAATAAATTTTATTTTTATTTTTTTTTTAGTGAGATGATTTTTGGGCAGAAATTTAATTTTTTCCTTTCTTCTTTTCTTGTTTTTTATGAAATTCTTATTTTGAAATTAAGGTAAGCAAATAAGAAAGTGACTTTTGTGGTATTTTTCTTTCTTTTTTCTTGTTTTTTAGGAAATTCTTTTCGAAACTAAGATAAGCCTTTCGGAAGTGGTATTTTGGTGGTTTTTTTACTTTTTTTTTTTATTTTTCTTTACTTTCTTTAGGAATACATTAAGATAAGCCTTTCAGAAGTGGTATTTTGGTAGTTTTTTAATTATTTTCTTTATTTTTTCTCTACTTTTTTAGGAATACATTAAGGTAAGCCTTTCGAAAATGATTTTTTGATATTTTTCTAACTGTTTTTTTTATTTTTTTTTTATTTTTTTTAGAAATACATTAAAATAAGTAAATCAGAGGTGGTTTTTAATAGGATTTCTAACTGTCTTCTTTATTTTTTCTTTATTTTTTTTTAGGAATACATTAAAATTAGCCTTTCAAAGGTGGTATTTTGGTGGTTTTCTAACTGTTTTCTTTATTTTTTCTTTACTTTTTTTTAGGAATACATTAAGGTTAGCCTTTCGAAGGTAGTATTTTAGTGATTTTTTAACTGTTTTCTTTATTTTTTCTTTACTTTTTAGGAATACATTAAGATAAGTAAATCGGAAGTGGTTTTTAGTGGATTTTCTAACTGTTTTCTTTATTTTTCTTATCTTTAAAAAATCAAATATATCTTTTTTGAATAAAATATAATACAATATATATTCTTTTTGAGTAATTTATTATATAATAATAAAATAAAATTATAAATCATAAATAAACAAAAATGAGTTTTATTAGTTTTGATTTTTTAATTGATTTTTGCTGATTGTTGACCGATTTTAAGCTTATTTATGCTAAATTTGACTAATTTTTAATATAAATGCTGATTAATAGCTGATTTTCTATTTATTCAAAATGCTGATTTTTTGGTAATAATCAGCAGAATTAGATTATATTTTGGCCAACTTTCAGCACTTTAAATGTGACGAATTGTATTATTTTGCTTAGTGATATATTAAATAACTACCAATTATTAATGTCGAATGTTTTTTGTGTGGCATCTGAATTGGGTAACTTCAGCTATAACTAAGAATGCTAATTGTTTTGGCAATAATTGACAGAAATTAGATTATATTTTGGCCAACATTCAGCACTTTAAAGAAATGACAAAATGGATTATTTTGACTAGTGTAGTGCGTGAAAACTCTTTCTCTCTTCGCTTCAAACCAAAAATTTATAAAAAACAAAAACTTTAAATATTTCACTTTTTATTATTTTTTCTTTATTAAATATATATAAATAAACTTTTAGAAACTTTATTTTATTCCCTTTAAACAAAAATGAATACAAATACTTTAGAAAACTTTCGTGGAATATTTTCCCAAGACACCCAAAAATTTTTAAAAACTTTATCCTTCGTTACCCCTCACCTTGCTGAAAGAGATATAGAAATTGCTAAATATCTTAACTTTCAAACACCCGAAATTTTCTGGCTCGTTAGAAAATTAAATTTTGAATATGACAAACTCTTTCCTGATAAGATAGAACTTCCACAAAACTTCATTGAACAATTAGCGCGTTCTAGTGCTTTTACTATACATGAAACTGGAACAGAAGATTTTGCCGTAAACAACACCAAAAACCTTATCAACAACACTATTAACAACATTGTCGACAATGATGATATCATCTCTATTGCTGACTCTGTCTCACCCGATATGGATACTTTGGATGATGATGATATGGATTCTTCTGGTGATCAACTTCATAAGAAACTTCCTTCATCTCTTACTAATTCTTCACCAAGGCCTTCGACCACTGTAAAAACAAATGCGTCTCATAAACAACAATCACGTAAACAACAAATTAAACATAAAAATGACGCGTCTGTTATTAATAACAGTCTTAACACGTCTCCAATTAATAACAATAATATTATGTTACACAACACAAATAATAATAACGCGTCTTTCACATCAGCTATTACACAAGATACACGTGATTCTTCACTTGCTGATGAAAGTCACATGACTTCAATCCCCAAAGAAACTGCTGTAGACTCTCGACATAATTACCATAGAAATGGTTTGAATAATATTAATAATATTAAACCCCAAATACATTCTCAAGATCTTCGACACCACATCAATAAACCTAAAATCTCTCGTACTCCTCCTACAAAATTTGTAAAAGCGTCCGTAATGGTTATGCTTGCACCAGGAGATACTAGATACGAGAAATTAGAACTTTTGAATTCGTTATTAGCTCCTCTCCCAGGATTTGTTGATTTAGATTGGGAATTCCTTAATGGTAATGCACACATAGTA